GTTCCTGCAGTGTGAGACTGCTTTCTGCCCTGTTTCTTTTAGTTTCTGAATGATTTGTTGCCTCTTCCTTAAACCATTGTGCTAGGTGCCAGGCCGACGTCCTGTTAGTGTGCTGGACCTCTGAGATTACAGCCATGACTTAGTGTGGTCTGCTTTGAGAGAGGAAGAAAGGATATGTAGGGATGAAGTTTACTGGAGATGCAGGCAGACTAGGAGGGGTTACCTTGCCTTTTGGAAGGATCAGGAGAGGTCTACCTAGTTGAGGAGCTCCAAAGGAAACAAGACCTATCTGTACTGGGTTTGAAGCTCTGAGAGGGGTGAGTTCAAAACCTCAGGAAGGGCTGAGGTAGAAACACAGGCTTCTGTTTGGTGCTGAGGACATCTCAGAGAGGTGAAGAGGCAGAGATAAGACACTGATGGGCGGAAAGGGCGAGAGAAGACACTTCTCTGTGTCCAGCTGTGGATCAGAGAAACTTGCTGCCTGACAGCAGAGGAAAGGTGGCATGTCACCACTGGTGGTGTGTGACCACAGAAAAGGTCTTAAATTCTGCAGGGAATGAAGGGTCTCTGGGTGCTTCTTGGGTGAGATTTCAAAGAATCAGCTTCAGGAGTGTCTGAGGTGGCTCTAAAGAGACCAAACAGACAGCAAGAAGCCAAATGGTAATGACTGCGATGTTCTGAAGGGAGATGTGGGCCATGTAGCTGATCTGCAAACCGCTGTGCAATCCCTCAGCTACTTTACTGCCTCAGGCCTGGGAGGTGGCAAATAATATTGTAATTTTTATACATGCAGTGATGGCCCCAGGTGCTTTGGAGTGAGATGTCAAGAGTTACAGCAGATAATTGCATGAAAACATAGGTTCAGCTCAGAAGTTGTGAAAGCTAATCCCATGCCTGCGCATGAGAAGACAAGTCGGTCCTTGCCTGGAAGTGCTTGAGCCCTTAACTTGATTCAGAGCTCTGCAATGCTGTTACAGGAGGATGCTGATGAAGGAAGGGGTGGGAGTAGGAGCTGGTGGGGTCATGGGGCACTCTGTCCCAGTAGGGCTTACAGGACAGGCTTTGATGACTGACAGATGTCTGAGAGACTGAGTAATGGCTTGATTCCTTGTTATGACAAAGCAAGCTTTGAGGAGAGGATAGTAGTATTACTGTTGATATGAAGTTCCTCAAGAAAATGTCATCTGAAATGTCGAGGTGTGGTGTTGGCAGTGTGTTTATGCCTCATATGCATACAGCCGGCTACATCCAAACCAGAGGGTCTGATCCGAGAGCTGAAAGGAGGTGGCTATAAGTACAGGTCACGGTGATCTCGAGTGCTACCCTACTTGAATACTCATCAGAAAAAGGCTGTTGTTCTGACAAGCTGTTGTGCTCTTGTACTAGACAGCTTTCTGGGAACTGTGACCTGGCCATAGTTTGCAGTGTTTGCAGGGGAGGAGAGAGAACAAAAGCGTTGTGGTAATTCAAGTGCTCCCTTGCCAAATGCTGGCTCAGTCTGTTTCTTGAAGTGCATGAACCTCTTGGAAAAATGCCAAAACAGGCAAACGTGTACCTCTCAAAAGTAATCACTGGGTTGAGGCTGTGTGCTGCTGCTAGTCAGTGTCTGGAGGAGCTCATCGGAAGTGGTTGGGCTCTAGGTGCGGGTCTCTCTTCCTGTCGACAGGCAGCTAGGGAAGAGGCATGGCAGAAGACCCGCAGCCAGCATCCTGTCGACATGCAGCATGTGGGACCTCTGGCAGCTGCCTCTGCTGAGGTGCTGCCGTTGCTGCCAGAGGCCGACTCCAGTTTGGTCTGCGCTTGTGTGAGGAAATAGGAACTTGAGCTTTTGGAGAGCTTGGCGCTTGCTCAGCAGTGTGTCCACTTATTAGTCACCATGCTACTGGGACTGCTCTTCTGGCAGGGAATTTGTGAAACCACGGGATTAGTCCATTCTTAACAGAGAAGCCTGACATGTGAGTAGCCCTATTAAAAACTCCCAAACCCTCTTGGCAGAAGCTCGGTGACCAGCCCAGTGGCTGGAGGACAGGCTCATGTAAGGCGCTGGTACACCATGGGATGCGTTGAGTCAGGGCTTATAAATCTGGTCCAGTTTTTGGAAAATTTGTTCTGTCTGCTTGGATGCTAGGAGATTCAGAAGAGTTTAGTTCCTGCAGTTTGTGGCTGGCCTTCCCTGTAAAAATGAATTCCAAGTGTTATATAAAACATGGCCCTTATTCCAGTTGCAACATAATGTTGTGCTGGCTCTTGTGCTGTGGAGCTGGGGAGCAACCCCTTTGTCAGACAAAATGCTCTGGCCACGTGGCTCATGGGAGCTCGATCAGAGCTGTGGAGGGAGAGGCTGCAAGGCACAGCGTGCAGTTTGTGTGACTCTGGTCTAAATGCACTGCAGCTCTGACTTCCTGGAAGTGGATGGTACAGCAAACTCTATTTTTTGTGTCACTGGATCTCTAGCATCAAGTGGCTTGCATCAGTAGCAAGGTGGCTTCTTGCAGCCTCAAAAGTATGAGCAGAGTTGCAGGTCATGATGACACCAAAAGGAACTGATGGTTTTTCTGTAGCAGAGTTGGAGTTGAGGCAACAAGCTGAAAGCTTTGGAAGCTTCCCTACTGAAGTAAGATGTGGTAGGATATGCAATAGCTGCTTCCTTTCCAAGGTCCTGTATAGCTGCAGACCAACATCACGTGCCTTTTTGGGCAGGCTTAGGCTTTGTTAGAGCTCTGCACAGTTACAGAGAATGGAAAGTAGGCGGATGAATGTAGCTAATGCAATCCCTTGTGCCTTCCCGTGCAGTCCGATGCTATGGGTGCAATAGTCTTAGCAGGACCCTTTCCCTCATATTTATTGAGCAACTGTTGAATTTTGCTCTGTGATTTTTCTAGCCTTTGCTGAAAGCAAACTAGTAAAGCCCTGATCTGACAGTGGAACTTAATTTCTACTTGGACTCCAAAGCTCATCATCCAAGACCTTTAAAAACTGGGACTGAAACTCATTAAGATGTAATTCTGGTAGATTTCCGCTCTGTAACTATAGCGCAGCTTTCAAAAATCAAGCAATGGCAAAACAGCTGGGTGAGAACTCTTTGCATGCAGGGTGCTGCCTGGGAGCTGGGCTTTTTGCAGGGTTTAGGAAGTGATGACGGTCAATAACAGTCCTATGGAGGCGAGGGGCATTCTGAGTTTTGGCATGATATGGTGTTTGACCTTATGGCAAGGTTCAGGTTGAAAACTCCATTGTCTGAATTATCCAGACAATGTCTTCCCATGTCGGAAATGTGCGCGTAAGTTCATAATGTTTTGGTGGACTATAACACAGCTGTTTTGCTGCAGCGCAGCCTGGGGAGCAGAGGTCTAGGTTAAGTTTCTGCTTTGCTTCAGCCATGATGTGTGGTGTTGGGCAAGTAGGTCTCTGCTGCATCCAGGATTCCTTACTAAGAGTAGCACCAAACTCTCCTCTAAACCACTGAGGAACATGACAGAAACTGACTGCTATTTAAGCCTCTGGCCCTTTTTTCCTTTCTCTATAACCACAGTCTGTTTCCCGTGAGAGTTAGTAGTGGTAACATCTTCCTAACTAAAAAGTGCTGAGTCAAAAACATCTTTGCTAGACCCGCTTGGAAGTACCCAGAAGAATTAAAGTCAGCTTGAAAGCCGTTTGACCCTTCCACCCCTCGGGCTGAGGACAGTATCACACTGTACAGTACAAGCTCAGTTTGGAGCCTGGTGTGGAGGATGCTCCCTAGCTCGTGCCTTCAGGTGGGTGGAACGTCAAAAGATCAAACTCCTCAGGCTAGGCTGAGTCCTTGGTCTGACCTCGGTGTTGTGGATGCTCATGCCATAATGCTGAGGACTGGTACAGTTCAGTGGAAGGGAAAGGCAGCCTCAGTGCTCCTGCTTCAGAGAAACCAGGGAGAAATGAATTTTTTGTTTTCTCTGGAGGGTGTGTTCACATCTGGTTTAACTAAACTCTTCCAGCTACTCTCCTTTCCCCATAGAGGTCTTGACTCCCTGGGAGGGTGCTTGCCTAACTGGCCCTCTGAGGTGAAGCTGAAGGCAGATGAACGTTGTGTACTTAGTGCAACTAGTAGAGCTTTGAGGAGTAGGATTATATTACGTTCCTTGGTTCTGGACTCAGTTTTTCCGCAGAGACGCTTAAATGCCTTTGGCTCGAATAGGACTTTTATCTTGACAGAGCTCAGCATGTTGTGGTTGCTTGTTGGCCAGGACTGCAGCTTGGTTGGGCACCTGACCTGCAGCAAGGGTAACAGAGGAAACAAAGGTTTCCTCTACTTGAAACTGGAGGAGGAGAAGGCTTCTGAGCATGTTCTTCCATCCTGGGCAGGGATTGCCTACCATACAAGAGAAATTTAAGTGACCTTCCTCTTCACCGGCCCCTCTCTACCTCTTAATGCCTGATTTCTCTTTACCAGTGCACTTAGTTGGACTGACCTGATGATGTGATACCTAGCTGCTTTATAATTTCAAGGTTGCTCTTTGTCTTTTCAGATGCTTCCACATCACTAGTATCAGAGGAGACTTGCTTGTGAGTGCTGATAGTTTTTTGGTCATGATTGCTTCAGAGAAGACTGCAACCAGAGCCATTTGGCTAGAGGAAGTGCTTAAGTTGTTTTGTTTGGGTTTTTTTTTTTCTAGATTTCTAGGAAATTCTTCCTAGAAAATCAGTAGTCTTCCACCTTGATTAAGCACAGTGGACAGCTGGCTTAGCTGTGCTCTCTTACACAGATAGTGTCACAGTTTCTCCTTTAAGACAGGGCAAGGTTGCTGTGGTTAAACACTGATCTTTTCCTTCATTTGTATTGTCCATGATAAAATGAGCACAAATGTAAGTGTATGACTTAACACATGGGTTTTGTCTAGGTGATCTTTTGGAGAAGAGAAAGCTTAGAGAAGTGCTGAGCAACAGCTGTCTTGGGTATGCTCAAAAAAAACCCCCACACCCAACACAGACCCTGTAGAGTGGAACTATTATTTATTTTTCAGACTTGAAACTGCACCTCCAGAGCACAGACTATGGGAACTTCCTGGCTAATGAAGCTTCCCCACTCACCGTCTCCGTCATAGATGACAAGCTGAAGGAGAAGATGGTGGTGGAGTTTCGTCACATGAGGAACCATGCTTATGAGCCCCTAGCAAGTTTTCTGGACTTCATCACGTGAGTACCAGCTGATCATGAACAGCATTTGAAATGCTGGTGTTCTTCCAGACTTGAGGACTCTCAGACTAGCTTTCCACACTCAGCCTTGTAGCTGGTATATTTTCTGCAGCTTCTTGAAAGAAGCTGGTTTGGTTGTATCTGGAGGTCTCAAACCAGTATCACTATGTTGTGAAAGGATTCTGCTCCCAGGATATGCACGCTTCATTGGCACAAGGTTGGCACATTTTTCTCAGCCAACAAACACCAGCACTAGGGGAAGGGAGGGCCTAGAATATGCAGCAGGGAAAGACAGGGCTGCAGCAGCCTTGCATGTCTGTCAGTGCACAAAAAGACACAGCACATGTGCGCTTCTACAGCAGTTTCAGCTGATGTGAAAAGCTTGAAATAGCACAGTGTTCTTGCAGGTTCCTTCTCCTAGCTGTTTTGCACAACCCTCTGCTTCCCTGTGTGCTGCTCTTGTTTTAATCGGTAATAAAATGAAATTGCTAGCCTCGGTGAGATACCCATTATGCTAGGTTGTATCTGAAACATGGAAGTAAAATTGGAAGGTTTTTTCCTTCCCTTGGTCCTTCCTGTAAGCTGTAGTTTGGCTTGAAAACTGCGTAGCCAGTGGCCCTCTCTGACCAGTAAGGAGAGACATCATGGACAAAAGTGAATTTCTTTTTCAGTAGAACATGACTTAAACTTGCATCCGTGAGAAGAAGGTTGTACTCTGTTCTCAAGTTGGATAGCTGATACAGCAGCATGCATTTATCCGATAAAGTGAGGTTGGGCTCGTTGCAGGCGCTCTGGTGGGTGGTGTTGAATCCTGCATTTTTGGCGGTTGTGTGCGTTATCTTGCTTGCCACCTAGAGATTTTTGAATGGGGCAGGCTGATGTGGAAAGGCCTTTGTGGTCAATTCAAAGACTAAATTTTGGCGCCTCTGTGGCATCTCCTGTGTGTGCAGATATTGATTAAAGATCTGTCTCTGTGCTGTATTCCTTCCTGCTCTTTCTTTTCTATGTCTGGACAGTAACACTATCTCATTTTTCTAACCGTGTGGCTCATATCTGGTATTTTCTGGGTCACTGTGCTAAAGCTGCCTCTTTTAAGCCTTTCCTATTTTCTAAGAAATATTTTTTTCTTATATGCCTGTCACTGAAACTTATGGAGTTTTTGTATTTGGCTCTAGATACGGAGTGAGACATGGCAAGTCATTAGCAAGACATTACTAAGCCCCCATTTTGCAGCAGTGTTTGCAATGGATGAAGCAGTTTCTAGCGAATCATCTGGGTTGTACAGAGTGATCTCGTCTGTTCTCTCAAACCTAAGTTAGCTTTCAAAACACCTCTTGCCCATTGTGAATTTGCTATGAAGACATCAGTGCTGTTGGAGCCTGACAATATTAGGTATTTTGTCCTCCACTGATGCTCTTCCTTTGCTGCCCTACAGATTTATAGAAATATCTAGTCTCTTTGGAAGTATCCTAGTGGTCGCTAAGGGTCTCTTCTTCTAGCTTATGTCATATCTTTTTAAAGGCAGTAGTCTGGGCAGGACACATGAGTATCTTGCAGACTTTAAAACTTTGCTATTCCCGAACTGTCCCGCTTTGAACATCAGTGTGTGGAAAAGATGAACTGAAAAGTCTCAGACCATGCCTGCCCTGGTTACACACTGCATGACTTGGGAGGAAGGCTGCGAATGGTTGTGGAAGTCCAGTTGCCTGTTATACCAGTCGATCTTTATCCAGTGTCTACATCCAGCTTGAGTTGTGCAGAAGACCTTCAACATCTCATGTGATTTGATAGGCTGGTTCTTACAGCTGTTGGAATGATTTAAAACTGGTGTTTTGCCCTCAACTTGATTTAACTTTTATCTTGTTCTGCTTCTGTCTCTCTGAGTTCTCTATGGCAAAACACTATGCTGTGCAGATACCTGTATTGCTTGCCTCGTGCATAACCTCTTGAATATATTGGTCCGATTCAGCACAGGATGTTTCTTCCTTGAGTTGTCTTCACTCTCATCTCATCTGTTCGTTTTTATCCACAAGATTTGCTTTAATGCCACTGTCTGCAATGCTGCCTAGAGGAAGGCAAAAGGTGAAGAAGGAGAAAAGCTGTTTTCCCACATGAAACATCTCCACTCTCTTGCCGAGTCTTTTGTGCAAGGAGTCCAACTGTTCAAGTCGCATTCTGTAATGGGGGGGTCTCCTCTGGGTCTGCACTTATCACACCAGTGGAGTACTGATGAGATAAAGAAGGTGTTACCAGCATCAGCTGGCCGGAGGTGGGAGTTGCTATCAGTGTATTAGAAGCTCCAATAACTTCTAATGACACTACAGACAAGTTAAACCAGAAGGATTAGGGCAGTGAAGCACAAGAAGTTTGGAGAGAGTCCTGGTTTTGCCCAGTGGGTCTTAGTATCTTCTGTTGATAATCCTAATCTATGTAGTGACAGGGCTAGTAGACTAGTATGACTTCTTGAGCTGCCTTTCAGGGTGTGTTTTGTTCCCTGAAGCTGTCCCGTGGGCTGTAGTAGGCCTTGGTTTGGGGTAGGGGGCAGAAGTTTCAGGGATTATTGTTCTGCTGACAGCGTGAAGCTTCCCGTGTACGTCCCAAAGAGTTGGAGTGGAGAACAGTACTGTTTAGAGGCTGACAGTGCATAGCTGTGCGAGTAGCCTTCATCTAACCCAGACTTGCGTGTAGGCAGCATCATAGAAACGTTCGGCCAAAGGATGTTGGCAGTGTGGGGGATGTTGTGCCTGTGCGCGCAGAGGTAGTGTGTCATCTTGCCTACCTGTGCCACTCGATCTTCCACTCTGACTGGGCACACAGACGGGCGTAATGGGGTGGTTTATCTTTGCCTTTTTAACATGTCTGTTTCCCACTCCTTTCTTTTAGGGCAGTTAATGAAACTTGAGCAGGAAATGGTAAAGACATCTCAGGGCAAATGGGGCACCAGGTGGTCAGAAGAAGAAATTGTACTCAACTGAAGGTGTCCATGTGCTAAAACTGTACAGGCTGAACTGAAATAGAAAATGGTAGAAACATATGGAAAGTTTGAGCAGGGCTGGCTTCTGTGGAAGGAAAGCTTGAGTTCACTGGGACTCTTAAGAGAGAGGCATTGGGTTGTAAACAGATTTTTAAAATCAAGTGGGATTGTAGGAGATGTGTCTGGCTTAAAATGGAAGGAAATGTTTTGGGTATGTCTAATTCAACTCTGAAACTCACTGCTGCCGGATGCCTTTGTATGTATTGACAGGTTTTTGCTTCTTAGAAATGGTGGATAACCTCCCACAAGGCAGGCCCATCGAGGCCTGGTTAAAGACTTGGGTGCCATCTCCCTGAGAGTGGCCAGGGTGTAGATGGCTGGTGCCAGAAGGTGGATCAAGCATTTGAAAAACAGGCAGGCTTTCTCCTTCATGAATGTCCTGCTGGACTTTGGGGTGCTTTTGAGCTGATCCACAGGTGACTGTTGTGCTCTCCAGAGTTGCTTATTTTTGGAGAGTGCTCAGATCTTGATCTAGGGCACATTGCTGAGAAGATCTGGAGAGCTGTCTGATCTTCTGAGCAGCTGTAGTCCTTGTACCTTCTGATTGCTCCAGAGACAACCTGCCAAAAGCCTGCGTGGGATTATGCTGTGTCATTTCTCTTGCCTCTTCTAAGTGGCCCGTGAACTAGGTGAGGACTTGGGAAGGAGAAGCAACAACAGGGACAGTGTCAGGGCTGTGGAGCAGCAGGAGGATGTGTGTTCCTGGTGTGCTCTCCTTGCCAGCCCCGGGGAGGTGAGGCAGCGCTGCTGTGACTTGCCGGAAGGTGGCACTCCAGCCCCATGGCTGCCTGTCCCCAGGTGCACACGGTGCCATAGGTAAGGATGGTCACCTATGGAGGTGGGCAGGTGGTGTTAACCTGTCTCCTGAACTTAAGGGAAAGGACAGTGTTTAAAAACAAACAAAACTGCAGCTAGGCAGCAACCCCAAAGCAAGGTCTTCGTTCCCTAAGTCACTTGCTGCCACTGATTTTTGTCCTGTTGCGCTGCTCTCCTGGCACCACGCTGACTCTTTCCTGGCTCTGATCCTCACCAGGAACTCTTCTGTGGCAAGTGTTGTGTTGTTAGTACCAAAATATTGAGGAAGTTGGCTGATTTCCCTTTTGTTTCTTCAAGTGGTGGCTGTAGCTGCGTATAATGGCAAGGAAAAGCTCCACTTATTGAGCCTGCCATGATCTCTGTAAAACACCTGCTAGCTCTGTGTCTTGCTAGGCAACTTCTCACTGGAAAAGACCGCTGGTGCTTCCCTGTGTTTTTCAGCCAGCCGTGGTAGGTTCTGACTGATAGGCACAAGTTGGCTGTTAATATCTCTTCTCCAACACAAACAATTGACTGTTTGGCTGAGGGAATGCAGCAATGTTGTGTAGGGCAGCAACAAACAGGTATTAAGTGTACTTGAAATGGCAAAACCCACTTCCTGAATTCAACAAGCACATATTGACTTGTGGGATGGAAGTGGGTTTTAGGCTCTTCTTGGTGATATGCTGCCCTGCCTTTCTATAAAGGCTTTGTTCTTTGTGTTAGCCTGACACAGTACCATGTCCTGTCCCTCCTCCTTTCCAGTGTTGCTTTAGATAGGTTTAGATGGGATTCTTTATCACGGTGTCACTCCTGACTCAAGCCTGCTGTAGCCTGATTAGATTGTCAGCTTTAGTATTTTTCCAGGGGGTGGAAGAAAAAAGTGTGAGCTTCTCTTTTTTTGCCCTTGCTTCAGTGCAGTCTCTTCCCTGCTCTGGAAAGTCTGGTTTTGCAGCAGCCTGATGTTGAGGGCTCTGTCAGCTCTCGGGCCCCTTGAGCCCTTGCAGCAAGCTGATGGGCAGAGAAGGGCTTGATCTTGTGCACGGGGGCGAGCTGCTGGTAACCGTGCAGAAATGGAGTCTGCTGTAGGAGTGAGGTCTGAGGGGGAGCTGGGTCTGAACACGTTGTCCAAACCCATTTTGAAGCCTGTGGTCAGAGGACAGACTAGGCG